GTCCCTGCACAAGAAAACGGAGATGAAGAATTGGTTAAAGAGTTCCGCTTTCTCCACTGGCACAACCACCAGATTGCCCAGCATACTTTGCAGAGGCCCCACATTACCCGGTGCCTTCTTCATCCTCCCTATATATTTGAAAAAGGACTTTTTATTATCCTTGATCTTGGACGCTAGTCCTAGCTCTATGTCCGCCTTAGCTTTCCTGACAGCCCCCTTACAGGCCCGAGCAGAGGAGGTATACTCCTCTTTGGAGATAGCACCCCCCTTCCACTGGGTATACGCCGCCTTTTTGGCAAGCAGGCATTCCCGGATGCCCTTGGTGAGCCAGGGGGGCTTTCGGGCACTCTTGCCCCCCTAAAACTGAGCAAATTTTCCACAAAGCTTTTCTAACAAACCAACCATTATTAAAACGTCCATTATTAAAGCCCTATTAACAATGCCCCAAACCTATCTGAAATATTGTACCCAAGACAGCTATTCATACCTCTCACTGTTTTCCATGCTTCTTAAAAATGACAACCTCAAGAGAGAGCCAAACACACTGCAGTAAGATATGCAAGCAATAAGTGATATACCCAGCTCTGTCCTAAAGCCATAATATAGATGTTATTATTAATTTCAGAATTCGTGGACAGTTAATGATATCACTACGGTGTTCCCCATTTTAAAACCTAGAGAAACAGTGTGATTTTTCATTTAGTCTTTTAACAGCTGCTAAACATTTGTATTTGAAAGGCAATTTCTATAAGGAATTAGACCAGGGCTCACAGAACTGAACAAATCTCTGTGCAAACCATAAAATGAGGAAAGTGGGGCAAAAAGGTTAAGCAACCTGCCTAGAACCAAACAGCAAGCAAGGAGGAGGCAGAACTCATAAGTACTCAACTCCCAATACAGCTCTAACTCCCAGATCATGCCAACTCTTTCTTGAATCCTATGTTTGGCCATAGCTATGATGCTAACATGCCTAAGAGATGGGAAGGGAGGAAGAGGGGTATTGTTGAGAGGAAGTAATCATATGATCATATGAAAAAGATGCAGACCAATCCTAATCACTTGTTAGGATGCCATATGCCAACATGATTGACAATAGCAACTATACAATGCATTAACACCGCTGCCTTCATCATTTTCTGTTTCTTTACATATCTTTGCTCACATTCATTTACTGCATGAGGCAGCAATTTTCTTAGCAGCAATACAACATGCTTTTGTGCCATTAACATCAGTGTTTCCAGTGCAACCCGATTCCTTTCTGGACAAAAGCGTAAGCTGGATGGTGCTACTCAATAGGAAGAAAGGAATGAGACCAAGACACTAGGTCAAAAGCACTTAGAACAGTTCACTTTTGAATCACGAAGTGTGCACAGAGAAGCAGACGTGACATGGTATAGTATTACCTTGTACACACAACAGGACTTCTAGTAGAATTTGAACAGTGGTGCCAGAAGAAAACACCAGTATAAAAGACGTAACTGCCACTAGTATACATCCCAATACCAAGAACACAAAGGAAACTAAACTGAGTAATGAAAGCCTTAAGCAACTCTGATCTCATACATTCAATAGTTTAATATTACAAAGTATAGCTGTTTCCTCTTCCAGAGAATGAAGGGTTTACAAGACTGTATTAGTCCCATCTGGAATGGAATTCAATGTTATGTAATGCATCCGCAGCCATGCTTGGCGCGCACGCATTTCCACTGTCTGGATATTTAAAACCTGAGATTGCCAATGATCAAGAATGTGCAATGGAAACATAATATCTCTTTATGGTATGCAGTTATTCCCAGTTGCTGAAAGAACATCTGTTGTGCAATGCTAACCCAAAATAAATAGCCCATCATAAATAGCGATATGTAGCCAGCCCCCATCCTTATCCACTGACGAAGAAAACTCCAAACTTGAAGTCACGTTTTCCCTTCAACAGAGAAGAGAAGAACTAAAGCAAGACAGATGAGAACTCATATTTACAAAAATAGAACACTACTTTAATTCACAGTTTCAAGGTCAGATTCCCCCCGCGAAGTTGGCCATACAACCAGCCATGGTGGTAAAGAATGCCCACCTCCATCTGCCCCTAGCTAAAAGAGTTTGGTTCCGATAGGATTAGACATCATTCAGCAACTCTGATCCACACACTTTTGAGCTCTAGGCCTAAGTGTTTCAACTCCCTAGGGGGAACTACATGGAGATGTTTACGGAGGAGTTCCCTAATTAGCTCCTCAGTTAAACATCAGCATTTAGAAGAGCCATTCGGCAACAGTAAACTAATTAACTCTACCTCAGGATAGTAGTGACAGATACAAGTACTATCCTGTGGCAGAGTACTTCACTCCACCACTACACCCAAGTAGACAAAGACCCTATAGCAGCAATGCTCAACCTTTCCAGTGTATGCCCTGGATAAGGCCCACAAACTGCCTCTGTGTGCCACATCTGACTTGCAAACTGCCCCTGTGGGCTACATGACATGCCCAAGGCTACAAACCAACTCTGTACATTGGGTCTGGGGCCTCAGACTAGCTCAATCCATCCCACAGGGCTGTCATCCAGTTTGTAGAGCTCCAACTAGGTTGAAAAATTCAGCGACAGGGGAGCAGTGGCAGCATTAATTATGACAGGGCATATGTGTGTACACAGAGGCACACACAGTTAACACTGAGTGCAACAGAAATAATTAAGGGAAAAACGAATTATTAAGATGTTACATTTATCACAAAGTACAAATCCAAGAAAATCCGTTAAGGTTACATACCTGACTGTTTGGATATGGACACTTAAGAAAAACAACTATTTTTCTTCAGGAAGAGCATAAAGATGAGGAAAAACCTGAAGTAGCTTTTACAGTCAAATTTAAATTAAAAATTGGGAATTATGGAATACTGCAACATCTTACAATATGTGTGTATACACGTGCATAAATATACTTCAATGCTAAAAGCATAATGCTTGCATATCGTTCTTTACTGCTTATTGATCTAAAATATCTATCTTCTTACTCAAATCTTGAAAAAAAAAAAAAAGCAGCCATTTCTCAGAATCACATCAGAGCAAGGCTCGGAGAGACCCCACAAGGTCATCTAGTCCAGTCCCCTATTCGAGGCAGGAACATCCTCAGCTAAATCACCCCAGCCTATTGTCTGCCTAACCAGATGTTGAAAATTTCTAAGAATGGAGATTCCGTAACTTCTCTACGTAGCCTGTTCCAATGCTTCACCACCCTCATAACAGAAATTTCCACCAATCTCCAACCTAAAATTCCCTCTGCTGCAGCTTGAAGATGTTGCTTCTAGCCCTGTCCACTATAGCCACAGAGAATAATCTTTTTCACCTTCTCTTTAATAATCCATCAAGTATTTTGAAGATTTATCAAATCCACCCTCAACAGTCTCTTCTTCAGATTAAGTAACTCTAGTTCTTTAGCCCTTATTCATAAACCTCATCTCCCAGGCCTCTGATCTCTCAATAGAGAGAAACTTTAAAACAGTAAGTTAGTTCTTTACATCACAAACCAATTATATTTAAAAAAACAAAAACAAAAAGAGAATACATTTGTCTTCCCATATTAGGAAATGGGTCACAAAAGTTTAAAAAGAGTTTAAGATGACTAATTTAAACCTCATACCAAGTTTTACAATGAAAGTCGCATACAGATGATGCAATAAAGCTAGTACAAACTGTCTGAAGCATTTACTTACATTAGAACTCCCTGGTTTCATTTACATAAAACTGAGCCCAAAATGAATAAGTAGCTGAAATTAACAAAAAGTTTACAGGTTAACCAGTAAACAAAAGGTACCATGAAGTACCACTAGTCATCTGATGCCAATATTTGCACTACTTTTTTCAAGATCAACTTTACTTGGCTTTTTTTTTTTTTATAATGGTTTCATAGTTTCTAGGGTCGGAAGGGACCTGAGCAGATCATCTAGTCCGACCCCCTGCCATGGCAGGAAGAGCACTGGGGTCAAATGACCCCAATAAGGTGGTCATCCAACCTCCTCTTAAAAACCCCCAGGGTGGGAGCCTGCACCACCTCACATGGAAGCTGGTTCCAGACCCTAGCCACCCTGACCGTGAAGTAGCGCCTCCTGATGTCCAACTTAAACCTTCCCTCCGCCAGCTTGTGACCATTGTTCCTGGTCACTCCTTGCGGCGCTCGGGGGAACAGGGACTCCCCCAGCGCCTGCTGATCCCCCCTAACCAGTTTATAACAGGCCACAAGATCCCCCCTCAGCCTTCTCTTTTGAAGGCTGAACAGGTTCAGGTCCCGCAACCTTTCCTCATAGGACCTACCCTGCTGTCCCTTGATCATACGAGTGGCCCTCCTCTGGACCCTCTCGATGCTGTCCACATCTCTCTTGAAGTGCGGCGCCCAGAACTGGACGCAGTACTCCAACTGCGGCCTGACCAGTGCCGCATAGAGGGGGAGGATCACCTCCTTGGACCTGCTCGAGATGCATCTGTGGATGCACGACAAGGTGCAGTTGGCCTTCCTAGCCGCCTCCCCACATTCAGGTTAGGCCACCTGAAAACCATGGCATGGATCTTGAAAACTTTACTTACCTTCAGAGGTCTTCCAGCGTTTCCACAGATCCTCAACCGTGATATGTTTGTCTTCTCTATGCAGATGACTATGTTTATTAGTTGCATCCTTATATTTCATATCTTCCCTGATAAACTGAGAAGAAAGCACAAATATTAGGTTTTGACATTAATGAGGAAACAGCATCAATTTCCTAACAGGGAAATCTGGAAGTGAATCATCTGACAGAATAGCTTTATTGCTTCTGGTCTGTGAAAAGGCACACTTTGGGCAAGCCCCTGAAGCAGTCAACCTAAAAAATAGAATTCACCATTCTTACAAAATGTACATTGCCAATTCATCATGAAGAAACAAAATCACATTTGTGAGACTGGCTGGTAAACTAAAGATATAACTGGAGGATCATCTGTCTTGGATCTTGTCCTGACCAACAGGGGAGAATTGGTAGAGGCTCTGAAGGGGATGGGAAACATGGGAGGAATTAATGATAGAATTCATAATCATGTGCCAGAGAAAGCATGAGGTCAGCAGAACTAACTGTGCAAACAGAAGCAACAATTTCCACCCGATATGGCCACAGAAAGCAGTTTATAGCTGTGACCAAACGTAAGTGCACAGCAGCAGACAGCTTCAAAAAATGGCCAACTGGTTAAAAATCTGACCCCTCATTGCATGAGGTATCAGATAAAGACGTTTCAAAATGTAGTGTCTTCTGTAACTTGTGTCAGGGCTGCCTCCAAGTCTGTCGCTGTTTTCAGGATGGGAGGGGGGAAAGGCAGTGGGGGGAGTTCAGTCTGGGGTTTTTTTAGTCCCTCCTAGAAGGTGTGGCCGGTGTATTGCCCCTCCTCCCTGCCCCGAGGTGGGGGGGGGGGGCAATTCAGCCACCCCACCCTTCAGCACTAGCTGGAGACCCCTCCACTGCCTTTCCCCCTCCCATTCTGAAAAGAACGAGCACTGGCAGAGAGCCTGGCCATTGCTATGGGAACCTGACTGCAGGCTGCTGCCAGAAGTTAGATTCCTCTCACCCCTGGAACCAACAGTGAACTTCTGTCTGATCCAGGGTAACATTGCAACTCAGAACACTTTGCACAAATCATTCTGAGCTACAGCTGGAAGCTGCCCTTCTTCCTGCACCCTAAGATACTAGATTTCAAAAATGCCAAGTTCAACCTACTCAAGGAGATGATCGGCATGGTGCCATGGGATGAGAAACTGAAGGATAAAGGCACCCTGGAGAGCTGGAAGCTTCTGAAGGGCATGGTATTGGAAAACCAACAAGAAACTGTTCTGACATGATGGAAGCAATAGAATGGTAACAGATCAATGTGGCTTCAAAAGGAGGTTCCAGAATGCCTCCAATGCAAAAGGAAAGCAAGAAGGCAATGAAAGATGGGTGGGTGACTAAGGAAGCATGCCAGAAAATAGCAAGAACCTACAGGGACAAAAAGCAGGAAGGCAGAAGTAAAAAGTGCACTGCACCTGGCAAGGGACGTTAATGACAATTAGAAAAGCTTCTGTAATCATGCTGCCCAGAAAAGAAAGACTAAGGAAGCTGCAGGTCCACTGTTAACTAGCCAGAATGTGCTGCTAAGAGAAGATGCACAGAAGCAAAGAAGGTAGAGCTACTCAACAGCTACTTTGCCTCAGTCTTCACAAAAAAGTTAAGCTGTAACCAGACACCCAATAAGGTATATTTGGATAATGAAGGGGACAAGCTGAGGGATGAGAGAACAAGGGAAACAGGGAGCTTTCGATGTGTTTGAATTAATTTAAAAATCAGCAGGGTCTGATAGCTTCATTCCAGGTACTGAAGAAACTGGCATGGGAGGAGATCTCCGAGTCCTTGGCAATGACCTTCGTGAAGTCATGGGAAATTGGCAAGGTACAAGAGGAATGGAAAAGGGCCAGTGTAGTGCCCCTACTTGAAAAGGCAAAAAGGAGGACCCAGGGAACTACAAAAAGGTTAGCCTCATACCTCAATACTCAGGGTGTTACTGGATCATATAATAGGAAAGTCCATTTGCAAGCATCTGGAGGAAAGGTTCATCCAAGCAGCCAGCATGGATTTGCTAAGAACAAATTGTGTCAAACAAACTCTATCTCCTTCTGACAAGAAAACTAGCTGGGTGGACGAAGGGTATGTAATGGATTCAGTCTATATGGACTGCAGCAAGGCTTTTGACAAGGCCCCACATGACTGTCTCACATACAGATTGGAGAAGGGTGAGCTAGACAAACCTACTACAAGGGGGATAGACAACTAGCTTAGTAACTGCTAGCAAAGGGTAATTATAAATGGATCCATGTCTGAATGGCAGAAGGTTGAGTGGAGTGACACAGGGGTCTGTTCTGGGCCCAGAGCTGCTCAATGTATTTATTAATAATCTGGATGCTGGACAGAGAGCTTCTTCAGGACATACGCCACAAAATGAAAATGGGAAGGATTGTGAATATTCATAGATTCATAGACATTAGGGCTGGAAGGGACCTTGGAAGATCATCGAGTCCAGCCTCCTGCCCAAAGGGCAGGAAGTCAGCAGGGGTCATAGGATCCCAGCAAGATAGACATCCAAAATGTTTCTTGAAGGCATTCAAAGTAGGAGCTTGAACCACCACCTCTGGTGGCAGTCTATTCCAAACCTTGGGGAACAAAAGCACAATTCAGGAGGATCCTGATGGATTGGAAACCTGGATTGGAACTTACAGGATGAAGTTCAATGCTGGTAAATAGAAGGTACTATACTTCAGAAAGAATCATCAAAAAGATAAATACAAAATGGGTGGAACCTGGCTGGATGGCACCACTTCAGAGAAGGATCTGGGAGTCTTAGTGGATCACAGATTTAGTACGTGTCTGCAGCGTGATATACCTGCTTAAAAGGCAAATGCAGTTTTGGAATGCATCAACAGAAGCGTTAGCTGCAAGACATGAAAGGCGATAGTGCCTCTACTCAGCACTGGTTAGGCTTCATCTAAAGCTTCTGGTACCTAAAATTTTGGTTATTGTGTACCCCCTTCCAGATTTACCAGCTGCCCGTGTACCCTTACCAGCATACATTTTATATTTTAAACCCCTAAAATGCCAATTTTTATAATGAAAATTAAATCCACAATTACACAATTTCTCCCACTTACCCCCCAGAGATGTCTTGTGTACCTCTGGGGTACAAGTACCAGTTTGGAAACCCCTGATCTACAGTACTATGTGCAGTTTTAGGCTTCACATTATAAGAAGGACATGGAGAAGTCAGATAGGGTCTAGAGGCAGGCAACAAAAATGATAATGGGCTTGGAAGGCAAGTCATGCAAGGACAGGATGAAGGAATTAGGCATGTTAACCTTGCGTAAAAGGTGCTTGAGGGGACATGATAGCAGTCCTTCTAGTATCTGTACGACTGCCAGAAAGAAGAGGGACAAACAACACATTTTGTCTTAATGTAGAGAACAGGAGGCAAATCAATGGCTTGAACCCGCAGCAAAGTAGGTTAAGAATGGATATTCAGAAAACTCATTCATGGTTAATGCACACTGCCTAAGGAAACTGTGGAATCTCCATCATCGGAGGTACTCATGAAGGTGGTGGACAACCAATGGCTGGGGATGATCTACGTGCATCTAAGCTTATGTTCTACTACAGATATTTCTCATGCTTCTGGATTTTGCTGGTTGCCACATGGAATCGGGAAGGAATTTTTTTCTCTTGCTGCTGCATGTATAAGGTACATGTGGGCGAAGGGGGGGTATAAGGTGTGTGTGGGGGCAAAGTGGGGAGGGGGTCTTCCCCAGAGGCATCAGGGGTTGGTTGGCTATAGCCAAGGCTGGGGATTTTGACTAGGGTGTGCCAGTGCTACTGCTAGGACTTAAAGATAGAGGTTCCTTGCTAGAGGGTCTTGCCCCTCCACTCAGGGTCAGACTAATCACCACATTTGAGGTCAGGAAGCTATGTTATCCCATGGTCAGATTGATGCCGACTGGGGGCAGAGGGGGAGGGGAGGCAGGGGAGTTGCCTTCCTCTGTAGTGTGGGACATGGCCTTCTTCCTTGGATGTCTCAAGAACATTTTAACAATCTTCACAACAGCAGGATGTTGGTTGCTGTTGTTTTCTGCTCTGGCAGGTTAGGATGTTATGCCCTGTGGTAGTGGCAGGTTTGACTATGTAGTTTTACTAAGAGGTTACATACTGAATTTAGGTAAAATAAGTTTAGATAGGGATTACCCTGACTCTGGTGGGGAGCTGGACTAGATATCTCTGGAGGTCCCTTCCAACCCTCCTTTTTCTATGATTGTATGGAAAATATAAGCAATATACTCTATAGATAAGAAACTACTCAAGAGTATGCCAAACAAGGTGTACGTCATGCTTCTACACTCTATGTATATTTATGTGACTTCCCTTTCCTGAGGGCAAACCCACATGATGGATTGAAAGTAGAGGGAAAAATAAGTGTACTGCATGCTTTATATATCAGCAATTAGTTACTCTTCTTGAATCCTGATATACCTTTTAAAGAAAGTTGCTAAAGAGGTAGAAGAAAGGTGATGTGAGCTAATTATTGCTAAAGATGTCTGACTATGCAACAAATGGTCACTGTTTCATTAAGTCTAGCTGTTGCTTAATGTAGTATTCATGTCAGCCCTGGTATTTACACTCTTTCCTATGTAGTGATGCTTGATCAATATTGTTACATGTCAAGCCCAGAAATACCAGCAAATGTATCCAACCTGCAGTAGTGTATGGGAAGCCTATTGCAAAATATAACACTTTACATTTCAGAATGCAACTAATATAAGCAGGAGCCTGCATGTACTTTGCCCATTTGTTCCACATTTAGTTTCAATCACAATACTTCAAGGTCCTTCAAAAATACATGTCAAGCACGTTAAAAGACATAGAAATGAGAGGAAAAAAATAAAGGTAGATGACAGTATCAAAATTTAGTAAAAATCTCTGGAGGGTGCAACACACTGTGTTCTTCAGCATGAAGGTGGACCATTGCCACTAAACACCTCAAGTTGCAGGTCAAAGGACTAAGTTAGGAAGGGACTTCCTGTGGAACTGAAGTCAACTGATGCATCTCACTGGAGACAGAAGCAAGCATTGATGCTCACCTTACTACAGGACAACTATGACACTA